AATTGACTTGTTTGAACTTATGTATTATTATAATTTTCTTGTAAGAACATGATCATCAATTAAATCTTTAAGACAAATGTCATGTTTCATTATTTTTAACTTAAAATTTTATTTTTAAAAATAGTAAAGATATCAAGACTTTATTTTTATTTTTTAAAATATTTTGTATTAGAATATTTTATTTTAAAATTTATCGTGGATATATTATGTTATTATCTAAATTTGGAAGAATAATTGAGCTCTTTGTGATTGATTCCAAGTATGTAGAAGACGATAAAATGGGAGATACTTGTAAAAGATTTTTGATGCTTTAAGTCAATATATGTGTAATCAAAAGTGATTAAGATGATAGTGTTATAAAGGAAATAAAAAACCTATTATATAGTAATGTTGACATTATAACCGTTTGAGAATTGCGAGATATTTTATCAAATGTATCTTTGATATTTCAGAGTGACTTTTGAGTATTTTAGATAATGGTAAGATATTCATTTAAATATCTCGTTTATATGATTCTTAGGGCTGGGTAAGTACATAAACCCCTTAATTCAGAAAGTAGTCCCGAGGCCTTGAGGACGTAATGTAAGGGGTCCTAGTGAGGGTGACCAAATTAGTGTTAGACACAAAGATAAATTTATCCATATTCTTAACCTGAGGATTATTGAGTGTTAAATGAAGTACATTATTATAGGTCTCATGAGTATGTATTGATGTTTACTGTGAAAACTTTTTACAAATCTTTTGAGGTATATGAGCCTTCCTATACTCATATGATCATTATTGAGTTATGCTCTCCTTCTAATCTACTTCATATGAATTTGATTATTAACGGTGAAAATTTTACCTTTACATATAAATGCTTATTTAAGAAGCGGAAGATTTTATTATTCTTTACTCATTTCAAATGTGAACTATTATTCATTCTTAAAATATGATGGTGTGAAATATTTTATCTCTATTTTATTAAATATATCTCAAATATTTTAAAATGATTTCTAAGTATCTCCAATAATATCAAAATACTTATTTTAATGTTTTAATTACATAATCTCGTTAACCGTATCAAAACTTAAATCACACTTCAATTTCAAATATTTTTTTCTATAAAAGATATTAATTAATATAATATTTATGTGATATATATTATTAAATTTTATTGAAAATAGTAACTTATTCTCAGTCTTTTTCATCATCCTTTGTTTTCTTCTCATATATTTGCCTAATTAAACTACTTAAAAAACACATTTATATAAAAGGAAGACATTACTTCCATTAGATAGTTATAGTTCGCCAATAATTATTTTCAAATTTAGTTGCTAAACTATTATAAACATATACAGTTTTAATTATAATCAAAGGATAATTTTTTTTAAATCACACATAAAAAGAGAGTGGAGGAATGAAAAAAAAACTAAGAAAAATACAAAAAAGTGTGACCGTACATACAAGGTGAGAATAAATTTTTAATAGGGATAAACTAAAAAAACTTAAAACACACCAAACTCATTAATTTTAAATTATGGTTTGAAAATAAAAAATATATTTTGTATCAATGGAAAGGAGGCTAATATGCAGAGCATAATTTATTAAAAATAAAATGAGAAATCAACGAAGGAAACATTTTTCAAGAGGAATAATAAAAAAAATCATGCCAAAGGTTATATATATAATAATTTTTTTTTTGTAAAGAAAGACCTATTTTTTGCTAATGAATTTGCTAAAATTGATTTATTTTCCTTAAGATGAATGAAACTTCCATTGAATTAGTCAAAGGAACTATCTCTATCAGAAGAGATTAACATCAATGTGATTCAATTTATCCTCCATTAAATAAATAGTCGTGCGTTACTCAAGAATTTAATTCAATTTCATTATTTAGAACCCCACACTCTTTCTTACCCAAACAATTTTTAAATTGTACATAGTTCCGTTTCAACAATTGAACATAATATTTCCACAAAATTAAAATTTATTTATTTATTCGTAAAAAGTCATAGTAAAAGGAAAAAAACTAAATGATGGTCACTATGAAATAACTTTTAGTAGTAACATATTATTACTCTATTTTTTGTTTGACAAATCTTGATAGGGATAGTTTGAAAAGGAGCGAGATTTCATTCTTAATTTTTTTTTTCTTTTTTGGAGAAAGATTCTTACTCATGATTAATAGACAAAACATGAGAACCATTATTTGATGAATAAATAATTTTTAACCACGCTAGATTGTGGATTCGAACAATAAAAGTAAACATGCTACAATATAGATTGGATTATATATGTTTTTTTTGGATGATTTGTTGAATTTTATATGATATTTTTCTTTTACAAATTACGATGTTATTTTTTTTCTTAATCATTCCATCCAATCATAGAAATTGCTTATTCTTTTTTGCAAAATCATGGGAGACATGAATCCCAATTGAAACAAATATTAAATACAATCCTTCTTTTTAAGAATTAATTTTATTTGTCAACAATATTAAATGCTAAACATTTTACATTATTATTTTATACTAAATTATATTAAATATATTTGTGAAAAATATTAAATGTGCGAGCAGTTATTTAATAAGTATTTTTTTTAATGATTTATAAACACAAGGGTAAATGTTATAACACAAAAGTATTATTGTAGTATTAAGAAGAAATTAATTGAAAAGAAAAACTAAAAAGTAGTAGTGGCAGTCTTATCATAATTACTTCCATCATCATCATCTTAAGAGGTGGTAAACAATTTAATTATTTTTTTACCTTTTTAAAAAAAGTAAAAAAAAAAGAAAAGAAAAAGAGTTGAAACACAAAAGAGAAGATTTTGTGATTTTCTTTCCTTATATAACTTGTTCTCAAATATGGTAAAAAATAGGATTCAAATTCACACTTGCATGCAAAGAAGGATTTTTCTCATTTCTTTCTTTTTTTCTTTTTTGCTTTTTGCAAAAACGGAAAATAAAAAAAAGAATCAAAATCCATAATTGAATATTCCGATTTTGTCAATCCCAGAGTCACGCCACAAATCCTCTTTTTTTCCCACATGGCCCCACTTTTTTCAAAATGACTTTATTGCCCTCGGGTGCAGTAGCCTCTGATTGGCTGATTTAAACCAGTCTCATGGTACTATGTGGTACCTTCCGCACTGGAGTAGTACCGCGGAAAGACAAGGCAATCTAAAAACCAGCAACGTCAAAGGACAGACATCCCACGCGCGCGTGGTTACACGCGCTAGAGAAAGCGGACATCAGGAACCGCTGTTTTGTTAGTCAGTGGGGCCCACGCGCCTTTCACTTCTCTCAGATCCTATATATTGCCAAATGTCCGAAGCAAAACTAGAGAATTTGTGGAGAGAGAAAGAACAGGGAAAGGGACTCTCAGATTTCAGAAGATTTAGAGAGAGAAACTCTGCATGCAATTGAGTGAAGAAAGAGAGGATTAAGAAGGGAGACAGACATAGACATTGGAATTCAATATGGGAACTGGGTTTTGAGTTTTGATCCAAAAGGTTGATTTTTTATTTTTAATTAATCTATTTATTTATTTAAGAGTGTTTGAGAAAACAATTATCCAAAGAGTTGAAAAAGCCATTGACTCTCTGATTCCTTTGAGTCCGTGTAAGTCAGCTCTGGTATTTATCTATACTTGTTGTTAGTGTTGAATAAAAAAACATTTTCTTCTTGATTTGTTAATGTACATGTGTTATTGGTATTGTAACAATATCATATATCCTATTATATTTTCCCTGTCCCTTTCTCTTCCACAGATCCCAGTGAGAGAAAGTGTTGGAGGATCTGAAAGTTCAACAAAGAAAATTCGCTGGCATTTTGCTTCGGGACTGCTACACTAAAAGGTATAGCTTTGTCTTTGTACCTTTCTTCGTTCTTTATCGTCCATGTTTTTTCTCTCTTTGGTTTTCCCGAACATGTATCAGTGAAAGGGGTTGGGGGAGTCAACTGGGTCGTTTTGCTTTGATTTGGTACCATGCATTTGAAAACCAATGTGCAGTGTGAATTTGGTGTTTTGTTTTTGTCTCTTTTCATAAAAAAGTCATAGCTCTAAATTGCTGTGCTTGTTTCTTGTGCAACAGCTTTCTTTGCCTTCTAGACTCTTTTGGGTTTAGGAATTTTTTTAGTACTGACAAAGAATTTGTCATGTTATGTGTGAAGCACATGAAGGAAAAAAAATTAAGGGCATTTATTTTTGTTTGCGACTTTTTATTTTTCTGATTTGTGCGGTTGTGCAAATTGGAGAAACGGGTGTGAACACCGGGTCAGAAAAGAAGGGTTTTTTTTTTCCTTATCTTGTTCCATCTGACATCTGCATCTGGAATGGGTTAACTCTATAGAGACGAATGAGTTAAAAGTCTTGCATGGAGCGTTGACAAGGGAACACCTTTTTTACTTTTTGGTTCTGAGTATGTGTTAAATTTTTTAACCCCAAAGAATTCAATGTTGTGAACATTTGACTCAATTTGGCTTACAGTCAAAATGTTGAGTGAAGAATCAACAAATGAAAAGATGCCCTGATAAAAGTGATAATGACAATTTGAGAATAGAACCTGGAGAACACGAGGGTCGGAGAATGAAATAGAGAATAGAAAGAGTACTTGCATATTTGGTGTAAGAAATTTTTGGGAGTCTGGGAGAGAAAATGATCCATGACTTTTTATGGGGTTTTAGTTTGAGGGTTTGTTTAGCAGCTCCTTGAACTGTGGTTGGAGGGGGTGCTAGAGTTGGAGGGATAGTTTTTCACAGAACTGTTTCATGGCCCAGTTTTTCTGCTGTTGGTCCACCTCTTTTTTCTTCACGCATTAACATTTTAAAGCAAAATTCCTCTACCTTGATATTTACCTGTTGTATGCTTCATCTCCCCTTTGGTCTAGAATTCGCTTTGTAAATCATATTTTGATGTTTGTTTTGTATGGATTATGAATATGATGTTGCATCTTATACTTATCCTTATTATTGTTATTGTTGCTAATGGGGACTATCATTCTGTAGCAAAGGAAAATGGAAGGTCATAGTGAGATGGGTCTAATTGGAGAGAGTTTTGATACTAGTAATTTGCTGGGGAGGATGAGGGATGATGACTATGAAAGCCGGTCTGGAAGTGATAATTTTGATGGTGGATCTGGTGATGATCAAGATGCTGGAGATGATCAGCCACAGAGAAAGAAGAAGAAATACCATAGACACACTCCTCAACAAATTCAGGAGCTTGAAGGGTATGGCTTTAGGAAATTATGAAACCTTTTTTGTTTTTTCAAATGTAATCTGCATTGATGTATTTGCTCGGGGTGATTTTTATTTGTTTTTTGCTGTTTTTGTTTTAGGTTCTTCAAGGAGTGTCCTCATCCTGATGAGAAGCAAAGAACAGATCTTAGTAAGAGGCTTGGCTTGGAGAATAAGCAAGTCAAGTTCTGGTTTCAAAACCGACGAACCCAAATGAAGGTAAGTTGAATGCATTAAAATCACTTGTACCAGTTACTTAAACCTTTAATTAAACGATAATTATATTGGTTGTTATTTTGCGACGATGGCGTTATTCCTTAATTTCTGGCGAGTAATGTTTTAACCTTTAATTAAAGGATAAGTGATTAATAAGTAGCATTATCTTTCTTTGTTGTTATTTTGCGGTTAAGGCGTTAATCCTTAATTTCCGGCGAGTAATGTTTTAAGAAACTGTCCAAAACTGTGCTTTTAGGGAAGATTGTATTGCAATCACAATTGTGTAACATCGGCTGCATTTGTCTGCAATTCCTTTCGTCTTACAATCTTAAGGGTTGCAACAAAGCTGAATCCCAATTGACAATTGGGGGGAGGGGCTTAGGAGACAGATCTGAAATGGGGACACATGATTTGGTTTCAGTTGGCATTCATTTGTATTTGTTCTCTTTTATACATTTTGTTGATGCTTGATAATATTATACTGAGTGAATTATTTTTCTTGAATCAGACACAACTGGAACGCCATGAGAACATGGTTCTTAAGCAGGAAAATGACAAGCTCCGAGCTGAGAATGGTGTAATGAAGGAAGCTTTGGCAAATCCTATATGTAACAACTGTGGTGGTCCAGCCATTCCTGGTCAAATTTCATTGGAGGAGCACCAGACTAGAATTGAGAATGCTCGACTGAAGGATGAACTGAATCGAATATGTACATTGGCAAACAAGTTTCTGGGCCGGTCCCTCTCATCACTGGCCAGTCCCATGTCTCTGCCACCGACAAATTCTGGTCTAGAGCTTGCTATTGGAAGAAATGGAATTGGTGGTTCAAGCAATTTCGGCATGCCCTTGCCTATTGGATTTGATGTGGGAGATGGAGTTTTGGGCTCCTCGCCTGCAATGCCTAATATGAGTGTTAGATCACCAATGGGAATGATGGGAAATGAAATCCATCTTGAGAGATCTATGCTTATAGATATTGCAGTAAATGCTATGGATGAATTAGTCAAGATGGCTCAACAAGATAGCCCACTTTGGATTAAGAGTTCTGATGGCAGGAATGAAGTACTGAATCATGAGGAGTATGCAGGAATGTTTTCTGCTTATGCTGGAGCAAAACCTGCTGGTTATGTAACTGAAGCTACAAGAGCAACTGGAGTTGTATTAGCCAGCAGTTTGGGCCTTGTGGAAACATTGATGGATGTGGTATGATACCTGATTTCTTAGTGTCAGTCAAAGTTTAATTGATTTTATTGGATATTTTGAGCAGTTAGTTGTTCACACAACAAGAATAGGTCAAAGGAAGCTTTGCCGTATTTGTATGCCATATTTATCTTGTAGTTCATAAAGTATAGCATAATATTCAAAACAATTTTCCGGTAGAACAGTTTGATACATTGATAACTGGTGATTGACTATGATTATTTGGACTTGAATCGGTCACAGCTGAATATATTTCTTTAAAATTTATAATTTATGTCAACAGGATCGATGGTTGGAGATGTTTTCATGTATGGTTGCTAGTGCTTGCACTTTGGACGTATTATCTAGTGGTACGGGTGGAACAAGAAATGGCGCTTTGCAAGTGGTATGTCTCTCTGCTGTGTTTGGTCCTTTTGCTATTTTGGCTACAACTAATTGGAGAATGCTTTTCAGATGCTGGCGGAGGTTCAATTGCTTTCTCCACTAGTGCCTGCTCGTCAAATGAGTTTCCTCAGGTTTTGCAAGCAGCATGCCGAAGGTGTATGGGCTGTGGTTGATGTTTCCGTTGACATTATTCGAAATGCTTCCAATTCACATCCATTAATGAGCTGCAGGAGGCTTCCTTCTGGGTGTATTATTCAGGATATGCCCAATGGTTTGTCCAAGGTAAGTGCAATAAGAATAATATATTTTAGGCAACAGTAAGTTCTTTTAAAACTTAAAATCAAATGTAACAATGATGGTGATGAGATGACAATGATGGCCATGGCCATAATGGTGGTGCCGATAACTGCTTTGTGGATGAGGGAGGTGGCTCCGCCAAATGTAGCAATAGTGTGTTTTTGCAAAACTAATTCAGATGCACAAATAATTTTTTTCTTGGTCTTGAAAAAGAATGTAACAAAGTTTTGAAACTGAGGTAGCGTCCATATAAGCTCCATTTCTTAGCCAAATATGTGTTTTATTTTCAAAATCACATTACAAAACCTAAAACTCCCTTTTTAGCCTAAAATTACAGTTGGGCCACATTCCAAAGCACATTTAGCCAATCCATGTGTGGGTTGGATTGAATATCTATTTCATTCTTTTGAATGGAAATCCAAGTACATCTTAGTCAGTGCTTATATTCTCGTACCAATTTCACTTTTGCTCCTATAAATCCACACTTGTGATAAGTGTGGTGCAGAATGAGTCACTGATTGGAACATTAGAAGTTAGGATTGCAACAATTTTCGTAGTTCATAACTTTCTGTGCATGTTTTTGCATTTGAACTCTCAATCATTGATTATCATACTGCACTTCACTCTGTGAAGTGGAGAGCCTACGCCTTAGATAAAGATAATGCTTTATTTCTGCACCCTTTTATAAACAATCTACTTTTGCTATGTATGATACAGATGTGCATCCAGTCCAACTGTAGTGTATATGGTGCCACTGCCAGTTAATATGATATTCAAGTCCTTCAGTGTGATCAATCCTTCATTGCCATTGTTAAATATTTCAAACAGCTATCATATTCACCTGAGCATAACCTTTTGAAATTTGTTCCATTCATTTTAATCGTTTCAAGGGACTGCTAAGAAGGGATATTAATTTAATATCAGCCTAGGGTTTTACACTTCCTTTGTTGTTGAGTTTGAGCTATGATTATCATATGCAATAAAACCTTCCTAATTCTATTTATGTTTAATCTTGAATCTTTCTTCTACTATTTTTCAGTTAAGGTTTTTAATTGTATACCTTTTCCTACTTATATTTAAGAGATGTGTGTTGTCCTCTTTCTGGTGAAAAATTACTGAAACTACTTGGTTCACATAAGCTTTTGCATACATTAAAGTTTCTTTCATATTGCATTAAATTTGTAGTATTCACCAGATTGCTTAAGGTAAATTGCACTGTTGTAGATTACTTGGGTGGAACATTCCCAGTATGATGAGAGTGTGATCCACCAACTTTGTCGCCCATTGGTTAGTTCTGGCATTGGCTTTGGTGCTCACAGATGGATTGCTTCTCTCCTGAGGCAGTGTGAGTGCTTGGCAATCCTCATGTCGCCTTCTGGTCCATCTGACGACCCCACTGGTATGTCACATTGTCACAGCTTTAAACACATTCACTTTGATAAGTTCAAATTTTGATCTATGTCGTTTATACCAGTCATTAGCCAACCCAATAGGAGAAGCGTGATGAAGCTCGCACAACGCATGACTGAGTACTTCTGCTCAGGGATCTGTGCTTCATCTGCGCGCAAATGGGATGTCCTTCACATTGGTAATCTGGCTGATGACATGAGAATCATGGCCCGGAAAATTGTGGATGACCCAAATGAGGCTCCTGGAATTGTGCTGAGTGCTTCAACTTCTGTCTGGATGCCTGTGTCACGGCAAAGGTTGTTTGACTTTCTGCGTAATGAACAGTTGAGAGGCGAATGGGACTTGCTGTCCAAAGGTGGTCCAATGAAGGAGATGCTCCATGTTCCTAAAGGACAAGACCATGGAAACTGTGTTTCCATCCTTCATGTAAGTGTTTTTTTCCATCGCATACTCGGCAAGTTTTTTGTTTTCTTTTTCTTGTTTGAGACCTCCATTAAGAAAAGATAACATTTGCCTATGACCAATCCAAGTCGAACTGATTAGGCCCATTTAAGAGGGTAAATATTTTCATATGCTTATTTTACAAACAAAGCTTCACCTGACCTTTTCTTTTTCTTCTGTAAGTGTTTCTTGTAAAATTTATCCAAACAAATCCTTAGTGAGTGTAAAGAAAGATCATCATGACCTTGCATTTAGCATTCTCATCTGTTTCTGATATTTGTAGTATGCTAATAACGAGAGCAACGTGCTATATCTGCAAGAGTCATGGACTGATGCCACCGGCTCCATGGTAGTGTATTCCCCGATCAACATGCAGTCCTTGAACATGGTGATGAATTGTGGAGATTCATCGTTCGTTGCTCTCCGTCCGTCAGGCTTTGCTATTCTGCCAGATGGCCACTCAAACAACGGTGACGGCAGTGATGGTAGCGGCAACTGCTTGCTAACAGTTGGGTTACAAATGTTACAGAATGGCAACCAGTCAGCTAAGTTCACAATGGAGTCAGTTGAAACGGTTAATTCCCTCATCTCATGCACCATTCAGAAGATCAAAGATGCACTAGGAGTTGCATGAACCATTTCTTTGATTCAAGACTTATTTGATCACAAAAAAAAACTTTTTTTTTTTCTTTATTTTCTTTTGAAAGAAAACATAGTAGAGGTTCCTATATTGGGTGTATAGAGTATTATTCTAGAGTAGAAAAAGAAGAGACTGAGGCAGAAAAGGGTTTGAGTCAAGAACGAACCAACCGCGAAAGAGTAACAACATGCTTTGCTTTGTGGTGGTTCGGGTATTGACTCGTTACCTGCTAAAGTCTCAGCTTTTACATATCCAAAAGGATATATTATCTGTTATTCATGCACCCTTTACTTTCATAGTTAAAGTGAAACTGCTCAACTTTGCTATTAGCTGTTAAAGTTTGTTTCTTGAATGCATTTTGATATTTCAAGTTCATATCTTTTGTCGGTTTTAATCGTTTGAATGCTTTGTTTTGTCTCTTTATGTGGTTTCTGTGGAACCAAGTTCTTACTCCTAATCTTGCTTGTATGTTTTTATAATATAGTATTTTATTGAGATGATGGCTATAGTTTGTGACAGCCAAATTATTTTGAATTTCTCCATTTAGAAAAAGAAATATATTAGATTTTTGTGAAGAACAATGGTATGTGTGAAGAATCTTTTTGTTTGGTTTCATTCATTTCGTACGTTGTCAAGAAAAATAGATTTGCTTCATTTTATTTCATTATCCATTTGCATTGAAACGCTATTGTGGACAATGATATCAGGCACGATTCATGCACAAAATCACGTACCTTTGCTTTAACAAAATTATTATTTTCTTTTTTATTTTTTACAATTAATTTTCTAATAAAAAATATGTGATTATTTCTTTATTATATTTTTAAACGTTTTCTTCACTTTATCGCAGTCAACTTTCACTCTTTAAGGGTACCTTCCACTCTAAGAAAAGTCTTTTCCTTCTTCTCTGTGATAAGAAAAATTGGAAAGAAATATTTTTATTTTTATTTATATATTTTAATTTCCATATCTAAGAAGGAAAAAAAGAAAAAAAGAAAGAAATATTATTTTAAAAAATTTCCCTCTCTCAAATAATTAATTATTTATTCTCATGTATTATTTTATTAATTTAAACTTAAATATTTTTAGAAAAAAGTATAATTTGTGATAAAAAGTATTTATAAATATATACGGTTTAAACAAATAGTTTTTAACTTAAAAAATGTTATTTACAAAAAATTAATTAATAATTACATAATTATTTTTTAAATAAATATTTTTTTCACGTAACTTTCCTATCAGTTGAACAAATAGTTTGATCATTTTTATTTATTTTTTTCTCATGCTTTAATAGATAAATGTTATTCTAAAAATTAATCTTTCTCCAATTAATAATATTTATTTTTATGTTACATATTATATATGTTAATTTTTAGTTATGTTATTTTAATGTAATAAAAAATATATAAAAATGATTATAAAAATCAAATGAATAATTTAATATATTTTATAATTTTTAATGTAATATTATTTTATTAATTTAAATTTGATTTTAAATATAAAATTATAATAATATATTAAAATATTTCATTAAAAAATAAGAACTTAATTTTAAAATAATAATTTAAAAAAATATTTGATTCATAAAAGTTAATAATTATATGAATAACTTTATAATTATAAATGTATTAATTTTAATTAATTAATTAATCAATTAAAATAATTAATGTTTTTTACTTTGTTTTCTTTTCTTTTTTATATTATTTAACACTTGTTGAATCACTTTAATGAATAAAAAATGAAATAAATAAAGAAAAGTAATTTTTTTATTACAATTTCATGGTTGTCATTTTTTATAATGCTATTGTGTGTAAGCTTTTATTTATTTTAAAGTGTCATTTTATGGATTAGGTGAATCATAATACCGTGTTATTTAAAAGAGGATAAATATTATTTGTTGTTTATTTTCATTAGTTTCACATTAATGTCTATGGTTAGATGATTGATGTAATCACCCTAAAAATTGCTACTATATTGATGTCTTCGCAAGATAGTAAATAAGTAAATAACAACATCTATATTATATTACATTACTGTAATTGTAATATAGACTGAAATCCCGGTTCATCGACGGAACCTCAAAATATAGTATCATAATTTATTTATATAACTGCATACAAAAGTAGCTCCCACAAAGATCATCCCACTGAACTATTCCTTGTGCACATTAGTCGCATCTCACCTCTCATCTCCTGATCTGCTCCCACATAAAAGTGATCATCGCAATCCCATCCATATGGAAAAATAGGGGATAAGTATTAAATCATTCAATATAATAAAACATATATAGAATTAATAATTACATATCATCAATTACAAATCATCAATACACTATGACGTCTTCTGGAAGCCTATCCTAACTATGCCCGAACTCAAAAGCTTCTGTGAGCACATTGTGGTCGACACTCACAGTACCATTCTGACCACTCTCCACATAGAGTGGGATTACTGATGTCCTTCATCACTCATCCTAGAGTACCCCTCCGAGCGTGCCAGCAGCCATCCCCATCGACTTCTCACCACCTGATCTCGTAGTCTACCTGACCCGACCAATCAGTGAAGGCTGGGACTTCATCTTAATCCTCCGACATAGTTAGTACACTAATGTACTATGTACCACTCGGGTACCATTCACACAACAACAATCATTTACATCTGCCTGATTCTGGACCACCTGTCCTCATGACTCATTCTGATCAACAAATAATAGTACTTGACTGATTCTGGGCACCAACCCTCCGGCTCAGTCTAGCCAATACATAACATCTCATAATTGATTCTGGGCATCAGCCCTCAAACTCAGTTTGACCTACACACGTCATAACACACTGCTGAATTTCTAATTCCATTTTATATTTTAATTGTTTTCCTAATATACCTTTACTTTATTTCTAAATTTCAATTATATCCTTAAACATTTTTTATTATTTCTTTTGCATCTCAAAATCATTAAATTATTATTTTGCCCTTAATCTTTCCTCAAAATTTCATGTATATCCCTAGGATGACTATTTTACCCTTAATCTTTTCTTATAATTCCTTCATGTCTTGAAAATGACTATTTTACCCTTGAACATTTTATATTATTCCCTCAATGTCCCGAAATCATTATTAAATTACCATTATACCCTTAATCTGTTGAATATAGAGAAAATATGGTTTGGAATTAATTTCCCTTGTGTATAAATCACACATAGGGTAGTCTATTTATAGTAGAGATATACAACTAAAAGAGTAACTGAAAGTAACGAGAATAAACAGAAGATATTGTTTGATATTGTGGTTACCAATATCTAACAATATCTTAACAATATCAAATAATATATAAACAATATCTAACACTCCCCTCAAGTTTGGAGCATACAAATCGTATGTGCCAAGCTTGTTACAAATATAATCAATTCTAGGACCCAGTAAAGATTTAGTAAAAATATCTCGCTAACTGATCACTTGAGTTAACAAACTCGGTCTTGATATCTCCGGACATAATCTTTTCTCGAATAAAATGACGAGTCAATCTCAATGTGTTTGGTCCTCTCATGAAAGACAGGATTAGAACTAATATGAAGAAGCGACTGATTGTCACACACAAGTGTCATTTGAGTGACATCTCCAAATTGTAACTCTCTAAGCAATTGCTTGAGCCAAACAAGTTCACGGGAAGGCTGAGGCCATAGCTCTATATTCGCTTCTGCACCTGGATCTTGCCACAACACTTTGTTTCTTACTTTTCCATGAAATCAAGTTACCACCAATGGAGACACAATATCCGGATGTAGATCTTCTATCCGAAGGAGATCCTGCCTAATCGAGCATCCGAGTAGCAAACAACTCTTGTATGGTTATTAGAAGCATATAACAATCCTTTTCCAGGAGATCCTTTAATATACTTCAAGATACGAATGATCGCATTCCAATGATCTTCACATGGTGAATTAAGAAATTGACTTACCACACTCGACTGCAAAGGAAATGTCGGGACGAGTAACCGTAAGATAATTCAATTTTCCAACCAATCTTCTATACTGCTCAGGATCAGATATAGGCTCCCCCGATTTGGTAGAAGTTTAGTATTGGGATCCATGGGTGTATCAACATACTTTGAACTCATCAACCCAGTTTCCTCCAAAATATCTATGGCATACTTCCTCCGAGATATAACAATACCATCATTGGACTGTGCTACCTCAATACCCAAGAAATATCTAAGTTTGCCAAGATCTTTGGTCCGAAAATGGTGACAAAGATGTTGTTTCAACCGAGAGATGCCATGGTTGTCACTACCTGTAAGAACAATATCATCAACATATACTTATCAAGTAAACACATCCGAGCACTCGAGTGTCGATAAAAGACGAGAATGATCCGATTCACACCGAGTCATACCAAATTGTTGAACAACCTTGCTAAACTTTCCAAACCAAGCCCTAGGAGAGCTGTTTTAGGCCATATAGGGATTTGCGAAGACGACATACCATCCCGAGAAGACTCCCCCGAGCAACAAACCCAGGAGGTTGCTCCATATATATTTCTTCTTGCAAATCACCATTAAGGAAAGCATTTTTAACATCCGAGTTGATAAAGAGGCCATTGTTGAAGAAGCGACCATGGCGATAAATAAACGAACGAAGCCATCTTTGCCACGGGGAAAAGGTATCTCCATAATCCAACCCAAAAATTTGAGTATAACCTTTGGCCACAAGACGAGCTTTGAGGCGATCAATAGTACCATCGAGGTCCAACTTTGATAGCAAACACCCACCTGCAACCAACAACAGATTTCCCGAGACGGTAACGGGACCAATTCCCAAGTTCCACTATTATGAAGAGCACTTAGTTCATCTAACATGGCCTGACGCCAACCAGGATGGGCTAAAGCTTCACGAACAGCTTTTGGAATGGTCACGGAAGAAATAGAGGAAAGACATGTATAAAAAGGTAATGACAATCGATGATAACTCAAAGCAATATAATGGGGAGAGGGATTACGTGTAGAACGAATACCTTTTCGGAGGGCAATGGGAAGGTCGGACTCATGTGTCGGATCCGGAGGAGACGAGTAGTTGGCACTTGAGTAGAGTCACATGGTGGTGGTTGTGATTGGTTTCGAGAACTATAAATCGAAGAGGCGGTGGAGAAGAAGCTAAGCTGCGGAGCGAGGAACTAATGGTGAAGAAGACACAATTAGAGGGTCACAAACAACGGGAACATTAAATGTATTAGGAGTGTTGACAAGATTGGATGGAGACAGAGGTGAAGTTTGACTTTTAAAATAAAGAGACAACTCATCAAAGGTGACATCTTTTGACACAAAATAACGGTTAAGAGAAGGAGAAAAACATTTGTATCCTTTTTGTGATCTTGTAAACCCTAAGAAAACACATTTATGTGATCTAGGAGAAAGCTTGTCCGGACTCGAACTAAAATTATGAACAAAACATGTAGACCCGAAAACTTTCGGAGGTAAAGGATGAAGTGGTTCATGAGGGAATAAAATGGAATGAGGTATTTTATTATCTAAAACCGAAGAAGGCATGCGATTAATGAGATAACATGCGGTAAGAAGAGCATCACCCCAAAAATGTTGAGGAACATCTCCATGAATTAAAAGTGTGCGAGTTGTTTCAATAAGATGTCTATTTTTACGTTCAGCTACACCATTTTGTTGAGGTGTATAAGCACAAGAAGTTTGATGCAAAATACCGTGAGAAGCCATGAATTGTTTAAAAGAATGAGAAAGATATTCACGGCCATTATCACTACGCAAAACTCTAATAGAAACACCGAACCGAGTTTGAATTTCATTAAAAAAAGTTTGAAAGATATGAAATAATTCGAACGATTTTTCATCAAAAATAACCAAGTGCATCCGGAATAATCATCAATGAAAGTAACAAAGTATTGAAAACCTAAAGTAGACTTAACGCGGCTAGGTCCCCAAATGTCGAGTGAACCACGGCAAAGGGGACGAAGCACCACGTGTGAAACTACGAGGAAAGGAAGTACGACTATGCTTGCCTAATTGACATGACTCACACGCCAAACTAGATAAGTTAGACAAGGCGGGGACAAGTTTACGTAACTTGGCAAGACTTGGATGACCTAACCGAGCATGAAGAAGAGAGGGAGACTCCATAAGCTGTACTAACATGTGTAGAGGGACGGAGATAATAAAGACCATGAGACTCACATCTCGTGCCAATCACCTGTTTCGAACTCCGGTCCCGTAAACACACCGAATTGTTGGTAAAAGTAACAACACAATCAAGAGAACGAGTTAGACGACCGATGGACAACGAGGTTAAAAGGAGACCCAGGGACATAAAGAACATTATCAATGGTTAAAGAAGGAAAAAGTTTAATCGTTCCAACACCATGAGATGATACTCTAGAGCCATCGACCGAGTGTAACGAAGGTAAATGATTAGGAGAGGATAAAGAGGAGAACAAAGATTTGTTACCGGTAATATGATCGGTGGCTCCTGAATCAAAAACCCAAGGACCAGGAGAAAATGATTGGGTCGGACCAACGAAAATATGTATTTGTATGTGTGACGAGATATAGTGGAACTAGAAGACTGTTGATCCTTATACCATTCGAGAAATTTGTTGAACATAGCGAGACATGTCGGATGCAACGAAGAAGGAAGATCCCTACGAGATAAAGGTGGGGAAAGATTGGTCCGAACAACTACAACGGATCGAGGAGGACGACCATGTAATGTATAACACTTGTTAATCTTGTGACCTAGCTTGCCACAATGTTCACACTTAGGACGCCCTTTTTCCCGTTTGCGAGGGCGAGCCCGGTCATCACGATGGGATGTCAACACAAAAGAATCGTTAACAAAATTGGAAATAGTGGAAGAAGTCATGAAGAGCGGGAGAACAAACCCTGACCGAGACAAGCAAAATCATATGTCACCTAGGTAAAAAAAAATGAAACTCCGGCGAATTCTCCGACAGCGGCGGACCGGAGACTCGCTCCGGCGGCAGCGGTGACGATAACGTGAACTAGTACACTAGGTAAGTTCCCGGGAAAGAGAGGTGGGTCACTAATGGACACACTTAAATACCAAGTCTTTCCTTGTCGAACTTTCCTAAACATGCACTTTCACACTACCAAATAAAATTCAATGACAAAGATAATTCTTTTCGATGTGGAGGATCGGTTTACCGACGACGGTGGGGCGGCTTTAGCAGCGGTGGGGAGGCTCTAGCGGCGGTGGGGCGGCTCCGACAGGTGGACAAAAGGCGGAAAAAAAAATAATTCAAGAGAACCTTAAGCTCTAGATACCATGTTGAATATAGAGAAAATATGGTTTGGAATTAATTTCCTTGTGTATAAATCACACATAGGGTAGTCTATTTATAGTAGAGATATACAACTAAAAGAGTAACTGAAAGTAACAGAATAAACAGAAGATATTGTTTGATATTGTGGTTACCAATATCTAACAATATCTTAACAATATCAAATAATATATAAACAATATCTAACATAATCTTTTTTCAAAAATTCATTTATGTCCCTAGGATGTGAAATGACTATTTTACCCTTGATCTTTTTTTGAAAATTCCTCTCTTACCCCTTTCTTCAACCTCGCATCCAAGTAACCATATCAAATTTTCCAGATTTCAAATTTTCCAGATTTCAAATTTTTCAGTTTCAAGCAACCAAACTAGTTCCAAATCCAAATTAAACATGAAATATATCCATTTTAATTCAAAAATAACAATTTTACTATATAATTCATCCTTAATTTCAATAAAATTTTTAACTTTTAAAACATAAAGAAATATTCAAAATCAGTCATTTAAATAATTCAGATTTCTACTCTTATTCTTTATTAACAGAGTATCCAACAATTCAGTCTAATAGATTGAATGAATTAAAATTCCTCTTATTTGTTGCAACTCTTCCTCTTCCCCTTCGCACGCGCGCACACACACACACACACATATATATATATATATATATATATATATATATATATATATATATATATATATATATATATATATATATATATATATATATATATATATATATATATATATAAGAAATTGATGGTGGGAAGGAAACTTCACTACAAAGTTTTTACACTATATAATATTATTATAATATATAATAATAATAATAATAAAGCATAGGTAAGAAGAGTAGAAAAGAATAAATTTAAGTGGAAAAAGAGATAAAAATGAAATTTTTTGGATTAAAAAAAAATAATAAAAAAATAGAAAAATGAAAATAAAATTTACAGAAGAGAGATTTAATTGATATAAGTGATAAAGAAAATTAAAAATAACTAAATTAAAAATATTTTTATTAATATAATTTAAAATATTATAATTATTTTTATTTTAATTATTAATATAATAATTATTATTAAAATAATAATTAATAATAATAATATTATTAATATAATAATAATTATTATTTACATATTTATTATTACAAATATTATTATAGTTAAAAATATTATAATTATTATAATTATTTTTATTTTAATTATTAATATGATTATATTATTATAAATTTCATTATTAAAATAATTATTAATATTAGTATTATTTATATATTATATATAACATGATTTTTTTTAATAAATAAAAATATGATGGATTAAAATTACAAAATAAACTATATTTAAAATATGAAAATTTATATTGATTAACATGAAACTCAATGTACTTTCTTTTCTGCACATGACAATAATCAATAATAAAAAAGTAAACTACCTTTTTTTAAGGTAACATAAGACTTGAAAAAGTGAAATAAGAAATTATTTTATTATTTAACTCATAATATTTAATGAGATTAATAGTTATAATTCAAAATAAATTATAAATTATTATTTAAATAGTTATTTTAAAAATTATCGTAAAATTTACAAATTATTTTGGGTCGTCTGATGGTTTTATTCCATCAATTTGTTTTTGTTAATCCTAATTAATTTATCAATCCAACATTTCCAGGAAGTTGATTCATTTCTATTTTAAATTAAAATTAAAATATTATAATGTAAAATATTAGAATTTGAATATTATTAAAATATAAATATATTATAATATTATAATTTAAATAATAAATAATAATTATTAATTATAATTAAGTATTTTAATATATAAATAAGTAATTTTATCAATTTATTAAATAATAATTATTATAGTTTTTTTCTCGTAAAATGGCAAATCATTCATTTTGTCTTGATTAACGTTAAAAATATTATGATTCCATTATCACCCCTCTACCTTTTTGTTATTTTCCCAACATACCCCTTCCTCGCTTTACCTCACTTCACTGCTTCATCTTCATCCTCCATAGTCGAACTACCAAAACCCTAAACCCTAAAATGCGAGTCTTCGCTTACCGAGCCTCCTGCTTCTTCAAGCGCAATCACGAGAATTCCCCGTACAACCCTATTTTTAACTTCTTCAGAGAATTCGCTCAATCCACTGCAATTCCCAAAAAGCAACTTAGGGTTCGCGACCATGGCTACGACAACTACATGGAAGTGGAGAAGAAAATGCGCAAGGTCCTCAAATTCCAGAGCCTCATCCTCTCCGAGCCCACCCAATCGCTCCCAATCTCGCGCCTCGAAACCCTTGCACGCCGCTTCGGCTTCACGCGCTACGAAGCCGGCGCATTCGTTGTAAAGTTCCCGCACATCTTCGAAATCTTCGAGCATCCTGTCCAGCGTATCCTCTTCTGCCGCCTCACCCGCAAGGCCATCCTCCAGATCCAGCAGGAGCGCCACGCGCTCGCGGAGCAGATCCCACTCGCCGTCACGCGGCTCCGTAAGCTTCTCCTGATGACGAACGAAGGCAGGCTCCGCCTCGAACACGTGCGCATCGCACGCGCCGCCTTCGGGCTCCCCGACGACTTCGAAAACTCGGTGGTTCTGAGGTACCCGCAGAATTTCCGTTTGATTGATGCCAATGAAACTAGGATGAAGTACATTGAGGTTGTGGAGGCAGACCCTAGGCTAAGGACTTGTGCAATTGAGGAGCTTAGGGAGAGGGTTTATAGAGAGAGAGGTGGTGATGCTGAGGATATTAGGTTTTCTTTTATGATTGATTTTCCACCTGGTTTTAAGATTGGCAAGTATTTTAGGATTGCTATGTGGAAGTGGCAGAGGCTTCCGTATTGGTCCCCCTATGAGGATGTTTCTGGGTATGATCTGAGGTCCATTGAGGCCCAGAAGAGGATGGAGAAGAGGGCTGTTGCCACTATTCATGAGTTGTTGTCGTTGACTGTGGAGAAGAAGATTACGTTGGAGCGGATCGCACATTTCCGGATGGCGATGAACCTGCCCAAGAGGTTGAAGGATTTCCTGCTCCAGCACCAGGGTATTTTCTATATCTCCACCAGGGGGAATCAGGGGAAGCTTCACACTGTTTTCCTCCGGGAGGCATATAGGAAAGGCGAGCTGATTGAGCCGAATGAGTTGTATTTGGCGCGGAGGAAACTGGCTGAGCTCGTCCTGTTGAGTCCCCGGAAAGCCAAGGTTGACAGGGAGTTGGTTGGGTATAGGAGAAGCAGGTTAGAGGACGAAATGGGGCAGGTAACAAGGACGTATGTGGAGGATGCTTGTGAAGACTTTAAGGGGGAAGATCGTGTGGGGCTGGATAAGAATGCAGAGGATGATTTGACATCAGATATAGGTTCTGATGTTGATTTGGGAGATGAAGATGATGATTTTGTGGATAGTGTATAAAGTAAAGGACGTCATAGCTGAGTATTTGGGAAACCTATTTGAGCTACATTTTTGCTTCAATTTTGCAATTCAGAAGTCTCTTGATATAGTTCTGAATTCTGAATTTTGAATTCTTACTCTGAAATTTTGAAGCAGTAGAAAATAAGGAGTTAAGGTTCGTGTTTTTGCTGCATCTTAACTGAAGCAATATGATTTGTAGTGATTAACCCAGGTTGATCTATAGTTAGTCTCCTGTAATGGAGGAGGGGAGCAATACTGGTCCTTTGTGAATTTGGCTCCCCCGGAAGGTTTTATCATGGGTGACATCTGATGCGAAGCAAGATCTTCAACCTAGATTAGTGTGTTGGGTTGGGTTGGGTTGCCTTATTATGCAGAGGGATTAGGGGCATTAAGGTGGATGGAGGAAGGTGTCCTTGTGATCATCTACTCATTTATCACCAGCATTTGCTCGTACATACAGATTTTTTTATAGAAGGAAACACTGAGAAATCAAAGAAATAATAGCTTTAACCTTGACGCATCATGTTAGAAATCAACTGCCTCACTCGGATATGAATGTTCATTGAGACATGTATGGCAACTCATCTGCAATTTCATAAATACCAGTCATTTACAGTACTCTGAATTTTGGTTACTAATATACTAATTCAGAACGGACGTGTCTGTATGCGTGATGTACTTAACGAATGGTCTGCACTATATTGGTTTTGTAGGGTTCGCACGGTTAATTTAGTACCAAAACAAAATCTTCTAGTTACCTGCAGTGTGAGCTAGGAGATAAAACCAAACAATTCCATAATCTAACCGAATTCCTTAAAACAGATTTTTTAATCCTAACCATCTTTTCCATAAACGAAATGCGTTGACCCAAACCGTATATTAAACCATTTGTATCATCATCACAAATGAGTTTGAAATTGAATTCGAACCCTCAAGTTGATCCATGCCTTTGTTTCATTCAAATTCTTTGACCCAAATCATATAACCAGTTTATAAGCCGAAATGAGCTACATAAGTCCCGACTACTTGTATTTATAATCACAAATAGTTCGAAATTGAACCCTAACCCTCAAATCCCTGCATGAGCTCTAGCTCTCACAAATCTCTGTTGATTATCTGTTCATAAGAATGACAACCTTCAATCTGTATCAAAGATATCTGTCATGGGATATAGGAGATCATTGAAGAGAGAGAAGAGGGAAGGAGATCCACAACTTAAGCAGTCCTCTTCTCCATTCCTCTCTCTCTCTCTCTCTCTCTCTCTCTCTCTCTCTCTCTCTCTCTCTCCCCACGCCCTCCTCAACCAGAATTCATCGTGGTATTAGACTTGTATAGTTAGAACTGTAATGTAGCCATATTCTGTCTCTGGTTCGTCACTGAAACCAAATTCTATCCAGTTGGGTGCAAAGCGGGGGAACCATGTTGACTGTCAACTGTTTAAGAAAAATAAAATATTAATAAGTAAAGAACAGATAATGCGTGCATCGCGTCCATCCTTCACAGATTTTCAGTTGATATAAAAGGATCTGTATCATTTTCTGAATGAGTTAAGGTTCATGGAAGTTTGTGGTTGATTCTCACACTTTAGTGTGCTTAATATTGCATATGTACTGTATTGATTATTGATTCTTCTACTGCCTATAATATACTACAAGTGCCTTATTCTTACCTTTACATGCTGCCTTGAGTTTATAGAAGATTAAGACTATGGAGGATCTTGGCGAGATAAAATGCTAAAATAGATAATGTTTTTAAATGAGGAATTTCAATTACCACTGGTCGGTGTTTGTCCCCTTATGATTGGCTGCAAATTAAACCTTATTGTTTGTTAGGTTACTTTCAGGGAAAGAGTTTATGAGATCCCTGTTGTGAAAGCTGTTTCGTATACGGGTGCTGGGTAGAATTGAATAATTTGGGCTGGCTGGTGATGGTTCAGTACATATTTTGCCATGTTCCTTGGTTTACTCATTGCTTGCTGGAATTCACACCGTGAATTCACCTTAACATTCAAGGGATCCGATCTAGATAATGGAGAATAGGCCCAGCCCACTTCACGTAATAAACTTCCAAGGAGAAGTGGTTAAGAAATACAAGTGTGATTCTAAGTTCCGTAGATAAGAATGAGAAAGTTGATCACTATATAATAAAATATGACTTATAATCTAATGTCTTAAGATTTTGGATTGAGAGTGATGTCAATATTTATGTAGGTTGAACTCATTGTCTCATTAGTGTTGTTTCTTCTTTGTGAATCCCCTCGAAAGATCCAACAAGTGGTATCAGAGCCGAAGGTTGATTGACAATGAGTTTGAGTGATGGTCTTTTGTATCAAAAGAATTTCTTCCAGAATAAGTCAGGTAAACGTATCCCGTCAGAGTAAACGGTGGTACATGGAAAGACTACACTAATGTATTCGAGACGATGTACCAATGTGGAGGAATTTACATTTGAGGGGAAGATTGTTAAGAAATACAAGTGTGATTCTAAGTCCCACATTGGGTAAAAATGAGAAAGTTGATCAATATATAAGGAAGTATGATCCATAACCTAATGCCTTGAGGTTTTAGGTTGAAAGTAATGTTAATCATTATGTGTGTTGGACTCATTGTGTTTTTAGATTGTAATTATATTTATTGTTGCTTTGATATATGTTTATGTATCTTCAAATTATGTGCATCTTTTACAACTTATAGTACAAACTTGCCTTCCAATGTGGAAACATGATTGATTACGAAATGTAAAAACTTGAACAAGTGTTTCTTAGGATTATTCAGACTCTTGCTTTTGTGATCTAGGTTGTTGTTTGTTTGACAATGCTAGGATACAGCTCAACGACGTGTACTTGAGGCATCTATGCTAAATTACTATGTGAATGGAACTGATTTAAACTAGTTTATATTTAATTTAGCACTTTAAACCAATTCAGAACAGGTTTTAGACCGATTTAAACCATTCAAATCTGGTTTTGGTTCCAATTTTGATTCAGTAATTTAGTATCTGCTTTGAACTAGTTCACTAACATGAAACTAGTTTGACTGAAATAAAACAAGTTAGGTTCTGTAGTCAAAGCATCCTCGTGGTTTGGTTTAGTCATGCTTTTCTAAATAATTTTCTTGGAATCATCACCTGTCTCATGGCCAGAATAACTTTACTAACCTTTCAAACCTTTTTAAGTGAGAAATGTTAACAATATATTGATGACCTCTTTTAATTTCTTTGTTTCTAGTAAAAAATTGTACCTCTTTCATTTCATTTAATTAATGATCTCTATTCATGATTTTGTATCTTCTTATAAATTTAAATAAATAATAAAGATTGTAATAGAAAAAAAATGTGATAGAATGTTGTTATAGTTTATCAATTGTATGTACTTGTCAATCAAAGGTTGACTTCATTGAAGATAACTGAATCCATGCTTTCCTTTTATAAAGATTGTGAAAGGGAAAAACAACACAATAACCTAAGATATTAAATCACATAGCGAAAATAATTTTCCTAAACTTGCAAGAATCTGTGAGGAATAACAACATATAATGACAAAAATAATCACAGCAGAGAACATCAATATTTTTAGTGTGGAAAAACATCATAAAAATCCATCGGCATAAGTCAGTCAATCAAGCTCCATTAAAATTAAAAAATATGACTACAAGAGAGTCAAATCAAAAAGCACAAATAAGTGCCTACAAAGTCGTCAATATATTAAAGCAACAATGCTCTCAACCAACCACAATACGAGACTGATCTCCAACCACATACTTCCAATTGACTATCCAATCCCAACAATCAAAATGAAGACCTTTACGCCGTGAACCTACTGTCAAAATTTTAGCCCGATCCAACGGTAAATGAAATGAGAATCGTAATTTTACAGTGAAGGCTTGGTAAATGAGCAAAATTGTTTTCTTTTCTTTTTCTCTTCCAAAAGGGCTATAAAAATACTCTCTATTCTGACCTAGTAGAATATTCTCCACTTAGGTTAAGGGAGATAAAATGAGTTTGACTAATTTAGACTTTTTAGACACATAGTTGGGAGGTCAACCCAACACATCTTCCCCCTCACAACTATGTGGAGGTGATCACTTATCCGGTGATCTCACAAGTTAAGTGAGATAAGATGAGTTTGACTAATATGGACTTTTTAGACACATAGTTGGGAGTCCAACCCAACACATCTTCCCCCTCGCAACTATGTGGAGGTGATCACCAATCCGACAATCTCATAACAAGTTTCAAACTTCTGCCTTGATAATGTCTTAGTCATCATATCAACACCATTATCATCTGTACGCATTTTATCTAATTCTAAAAACTTAGCATTCAAATCATCACGTATACAATGATACCTTACATCAATATGTTTGGAAATAGAATGAAAAGTTGGATTCTTACTAAGATAAATAACACTCTGACTGTCCACAAATAATGGATATAATTGTTTTGCACAAAATCAAACTCTTGCAAGAATTTCTTCAACTATAGCAACTCCTTGCATGCTTCTATAATGACAATGAACTCTGCCTTTGTAGTAGATAATGTTACACACTTTTGCAATCTTGATTTCCAAGTCACAACTCCCCCTACAAACTTAATCAAATAACCCGAAGTAAACTTTCTGCAATCAATGTCTCTAGACATATCTGAGTATGAGTAACCCATCAAGATGAATTTATTATCTCCAAAACAAAGTTTCAAATTACTAATACCATGAGGATACCTCAAAATCTATTTCGCAACATTCTAATGTTCTCTACCTGGATTGAACAAGAAACGACTAACTATACCAACAACATGTACAATATCAAGTCTAGTACATATTATTGCATACATCAAACTACCCACTGGAGATGCATAAGGAATTTACTCATATTATTTCTCAACTTCATTTGAAGGACTCTACTTAACACTCAATTTAAAATGAGTTGCAAGAGGAGTGCTTACTGGTTTAGCATTTTTCATCTGAAATCTCTGCAACATCTTCTTAGTGTAATGCTCCTGTG